AAATTGATTTAGAATACACATCTAAACTTAAATTCATTCTTTAAATCAGATGCATTAATTAATTACTGAATGATCATGTCATGATAGTTGTAAGTTACATGGATGGCATGGATTTTGAGTAAATACTTGCATTGTCCTTTATTGAAGTAACTTGGACATTTCTGAGTTTAGAACGAGTCTTGTCAAAAACAGTGCTGAATAATTTGGGAATTCAGTGTACCCGCGTTAAAATGCAGTTTTGATGTTGAATTACATTAATTGGTATTATTATGATGTGCAACACATCTACCATTTCACATCCAGAAGTCTCTCAGAAATATCTGAGATTTTCTCTTATGGCTGAAATTTGCTTTTCTGATCTGTTTATTCAAGATGGAACTTGATGTCAGAGTGATGTCCATGATCATGTAGAAACCTGTTACTGTGAAACTAGAGAGCACAATAATATGAAATTATCAGAAATTTGTTTTTTCTTTTCTTCTTATTTTAAAAATACTTTTTGTCATCTATTTTCACACCACATGTTCACCAATATCGTTCTACCTTTCCAGTCTGGCCCATCTCAGCAATGTTTTGCTTCCTTGACAAGAGCGGACAAGGTGCACAAGTGTTATGATTTGTGGGATATTCTTTGGATCACAGTAAAACAATTCCAGACATCTCAAGTTTTTTTGTGATTTATGAAAAGCTCCATACCAATTTGTTAAATATACCAATATTTAACAAAAATATAAATGTTAATGTAATATTTTTAATCACGTATGGTTTACCAGTGTGTGAAAAATTATTAAACATTTTAATAATAAACCGTTGGAGTCAATGAATAACCGTTTATATCCGGTGCAATCTTGGATTTCACGATTAACTTAAATGTTGCAAGGCATAGTAACGAATCGTTCTTTTCAAATCTTTTCAATGAATCGGATTCATTTGTGAGTCGAATTGAATCAGTCCGTTCGGATCTCGAGTCATATTGAACAAAGAACCGATTTATCAGAGCTTATTTTAATAAATTGTATATTATTATATTTAGTTATATTTATCATTATATTTAGTATTCATTATTTAGGTTCAGTATAAAATTACAACAGACACTCATAATAAAAATTAATATGAAGGAAAGTATCGCGTTATGACGCAATTGCTCCATACAAGAATCGCTAAATTGATAATCTGAACCGATTGTGTTCGAAAGAACCGTTTGCTGGAATTGATTCGGACCCTCTCTGGGCATCACGTTTTAAGATGCCTCCCTGTCAATCACACGTCCAAATGGGAAGGCCCCGCCCAACAATTATAAAAGTGTGCATGCCATTAGCCATCCGTCAGGCAAAGAGGGACAAGCGCAAGATGGAAAGGGACGCACAATCATCCAAAGGCCCAGGAGACAGCAGTGCAGTTTGTAGGTGGGTATATACACTTCAGCTCTTAGCTTTTGCACTAGTGTGCAGATCAGTAGTTGGATTGTTGCAGTGCCACCAAGCAAACAATTAGGGGAAGAAATGTGTTATGACAAAGATCTGAAAGTTTATATGAATTGTGAGATCCAAGTCTCGTTTGTATGGGTGTCACCCTCCAAACTCGCTGTTTATTCTATAGAAAAGACACGGGCGTCCCTGGTTGGTCAGCGCGAGTTCTGCGTGACGTGGGTCTCCAGCGTCACTCTCTCTCACCAACTCTTCAATCCGTTTACTTACTCTAACAACTGCATTAAATCAAGTTCTTTGGAGGATCTAAAAATGGATCGGTATCGCACACCTTGTAGACAGCCGAGAAAAGGCAGCTTAAACGTGGAAAGAGAAGTCTGCAGGTAGTTCCGTGTTTTTGACTGGACGAAAAGTTCGTTTTTAGCCCCGATCATCTGTTTGAAAGAGTGACTTTTCCTGCTTTAACGTCGATGTTTACATCCGGTTACGGCAGCGAGCGATTTGTTTTTGTTTTAGTAGAAAGATTAGTGCAGTTACAACAAACATCGTGACTTCTTATACTTTGAACTGCAACGTAGTTTGAAAAGACCGTTGCCAGATTTGTTAGTTCTTAGTTGTAAAGTCCTACAGTTTCCGTGTACTATCATAGTCAATAACATGAACTAATGCTCGAGGGTTCAAACCTGCTACGTTACTATTTCCTCCTCTTTTTACTAAGTGTTGCAAGTTTTCAAAAACTTGTGAAAGATATGTGCTGCAGTTGTCAACAAATGTAATTAGCATGTTGTGTTTTGCAGGCAGTTCATCAATGGGTCTTGTCGCTATGGTCCAAGCTGTTACTATCTACACGAGTTTCCAGCATTACCGTCGTTTCAAGTTCAGTGTAGGTACTTCCAGAAAGGTGGCTGCTGGTTTGGTGACCGTTGCAGGTAAGGAGCCAGCTGGCCCTTTTTGAACCTGTATTTAGAAAAGAGGTTTACGAGTTGTATGTCTTGCAGGTATCTCCATGTTCCTCAAGCGGGTGAAGGTTCTTCAGGGAGCAGCAGACGCGGTTCAGCACCTGCGGTGTTCCCCTTGGCGCTGACGGGACATTCTCTGGCTGATCGTCGAGGATCTGAGCCCTCTCTTCTCCCACCTCAAGGAGCCTACAGCCTGACTCGAAGGGGTTCAGAGCCTCTGGTCACAAGTATGAGCGTGCTGCAGCAGAACTTTGAGCGCTTGACTACAGGCATTGCAGAGGAGGAAGAGTTCGGGGTTGTGGAAGATGGACCTCCCCAGCAGGGTATTACTGCTTATTCAGGCTTTTCTTTGAAACTACACCTCGCATTGTTCTTTTATGAATTGAATTGTTGTCCTCTTCAGATGCAACCAGACCACTACAACAAATCAGTGCTACAGACTCCAGTTCTTCAGATAACTACAGTTCTGCAGCTTTTGTACCTGGTGCAGCACCTGCCGAAGTCCAAAAAGTAACTGTATCTGAAGCCGAAACACGGGTCACAAACACTACACATTTCTGTAGCTCCTAGATGAAGCTATCTGGGTTTCATCGGCCTGGGTTTAATGAAGTGTTATTGGATTATAGGTGACTGGTTCACCAGAGAGACCAGATCAGGGTGGCGCTGCAGTATCGACGGAGCTGCAGCATTCAAGGGCTTTTGACCAAAGCAAAGATGTGTCCTGTGGCATCTGCATGGACAAAATTTCTGAGAAATCCACCTCTCAGGAACGGCGTTATGGCATCCTACCCAACTGCAATCATGCTTTCTGCATCAGCTGCATTGTTACATGGCGGAAAACAAAGGCCTTCCAGGAGGATGTCATCAAGTGAGTATTTTATTTTTATTTTTCCTCCTTTTTGCACATATAAAGCTGTATATATGTATTGTTAATAATAATAATTTTATTTATATATTTATTTATTTATTTATTTATTTTATATTTATTTATTTTATATTTATTTTTTTTAAATAGGGGCTGTCCACAGTGCAGAGTGAAATCCTCCTTTTACATTCCCAGCAAGCACTGGGTCTGTGATGGAGAGGAAAAGGCATCATTGATAGCCGCTTTCAAAGAAAGAAGCAGGTTAGAAAGGTTCCCATTCATGCTGTCAAATCTTTTGTAATTGTTTTTGATCCTTTACATTGATTCTGGAATTGTTTCTCTAGTAAGTTAAAGTGCACTTTCTTCATGCGTCACGGATGCTGCCCCTTTAAATCAGAGTGTATCTACAGCCATGACATGCCTCCTAATCACACACACCGTCGCAGGCGCTCGGCACCCAGGGTAATGTTTGTATTTAACTAATTTAATTTTACTTTACGTTGCATTTATGTCCCATGTTTGTAAACTGCAGGTGTTTTTTTTTTTTTTTTTTTTTTTTTTTTTTTTGTTGGGGGGGGGGGGGAGAATGTTCCCTATTCTGTATTGCAGTGTTAAGCTTGCTGTATTGAACAACATCAGTTAACCATTTTAATCTGATTTGTTTTCAGGACACAGCTGAGATGTTAGAGGATTTGGGCATTGATGGCATCCAACTTTGGAGCTACATTTTTGCCCTAACTCTGTTGGATGAAGATGACGATGACCTTCTGGATTTTCTTGATGACTAAGGACCTTCTAGTCATGTATATGTTGGCTTAGCCTTGAGTGAGCTTTGCTTATCTTTTGCACTGAAATCTTATGGTCTCTTTTTAGGGTTGGCTTTACTTTAGCTAGCCTTAAATGTTTGGCTAATTCTTTAGCCGTGTAGATTTACTACGTGTGGTTTTTTTTGTTGTTGTTTTTTTTGTATGAGTGAGTCTTTTGCCTTTTAGTTTAAGGGAGTGGGTGGGAGGGGAAAAAAGTTTGAATGCTCAAATCTCAAATTGAGTGTCTCTTCAGGTTGAGTTGGGGAGAAACTAGGGCAAAAAGTTAATGTTAACAGAATGCATGGTCACCTATTCAGCTTGCTTTTCACTTGTTGATCGTTTAGTACCTCCATCTGTGCCGATTCCTGATTGTTGTACCCTTTTGTCTGATACCTTTATATGAAATCAGATTTTAATTGTGTAGTAGTTTATAATATTGCCGGTATTTTGCAAAACACTAAATGTGCAACCTGTCAGCAGGCTTTTGTATTGTTCTCCTCAGCAGTGTTAACAGGTTATACCAGGACTTGATGTCACATTTTATGACTTTTAGTACATGTTTATATTCAAAGAAGAGTGAAAATAAAAAAAAATGTTCCACTGTTTGCCTTACCTGATCCTCTTAGTCTCTTCAGGACATGGCTGCAGCGTCAACAATACTACAGTGAGAATAAAAGTTAGGCCTTCTTTCTTTGCGTGCACATTTGGGCGGTGTTATGCAAATCTTCCCACATTGTGATGTAGACATGTGGGGGCGTGTTAGAATGAGCCGTTTTAGGTAGGCGTGGTTAACTCTTAACTTTTATAAAGAATATCTCTTTGGTTTTGAGACTTTAGTGTTTGCAACTTTACAGATCTTCTTTATGCACCAAGAGCTTGTAACACTCCAAAGAGAAAGGAAAAATTGAAATCGCATCATATGACCCCTTTAAAATTGAAGATAACACTACAGCAAAATTGGTTCAGAAAGTCGCCAGAGAGCTCCTCTGTTGTAATTCCGCTCCAAACCTGCAGGGGTCTTCAGTGTACATTAAGCGTTTGTTTGGAGCCACATAAAGAACTGATCCGAAACTTGGTACACAACTTCCTACAGGAGCTGACAAATCGTTTTGATAATCTATATTTCTACTGTGTCTGGGACCGCTACGCCTATCATTTTGAATTGACCGTAGTAGCAGGCTTCAGCGATATCTGTGACTGAGGTCCAGTGATGGATCTGAAAGCTATGTTGCAGCGTTTTGACGGACGGTCCCGGTTGCTGGTTCATTCGTTGCATTCAAGAGCAGCCGGGGCGAGCAATGCGCAAACAGTTTTCAATAAACAGCGCAGATCTGATCCAGATTTCACGCTAAATCCGTTTTTAGAAACTTTGTGCCAACAAGAAGCATGTGTGCACGAGGACTCTCTCGTTCTGTAAGTAGACAGTCAAAAATTATCCTAATTCTGTTGAGCATAACAATGTCACCTGGCAAACAGTCATAATTATTAAATATTTTAATTATTCACAATAGTACTTTTTATTTTTGGACTTTGACAAGTAACTGTCTAGTGGTGTATTAAAAAGCTGTCTGAGGTTTAATGTAAATAAAAGGCTTAACTCGACTGTTCTGCTGTCATATCTGCCATTATTCTAAAATAACGTGATTCCTTTTTTTGTAAATAAATGCCTCTTAAAAACCAGTACATTTAGAAATGACCATTTACATATCATATATATATATATATCAGGGGCGTTTCCTCCGAGGAGGCAAGGGAGGCAGTGTCTCCTCAAAAAGTTGGATGAGAAAATAATCGATATTACAAAAATAAAACAGCGCAAATATGACTAAATATGATATTAAAAGTCTAAAAGGCACTCGTTTTAAAAAAGTAACACTGTCCAACAGCGACACCAGCAGGTAAAGTTACAGCGGAGGCTTGCCTCCCTTCGGTTCATAGACTTTCTACAGAGACCCTAAGCAGGGTTCCTCAAATCTGGCCCAGAGTTTAGCTCCAACCCTGACCAAACTCACTTACCTGTGATTTTCTAATGATCCTGAAGACGTTGATTAACATGCTCAGGTGTGTTTGATTAGGGTTAGAGCGAAACTCTGCAGGAAAGTGGATCTCGTGGGCCAGATTTGAGGATCCCTGCAAAGCGTGACTTTTCTGGAGGCTCATTGAGATGAATGGGGGAAAGTCACGTGAGAGGAGGCAACGCCTCTGTCGCGCTATAATTGGATATGATCGGTTATGATTGAATGTGATTGGTTCGTGCGATAAATCCCGCCTCTTGTTTTCGTGCGACCTCCCGGTCTTGAATGAAGAAAATTATGTCGTTATTGACAAATTATAAAGTAAGTAAACAACTCTCCCGCTTAGATACCACTACTTTGTGTCACGTCAAAATAAAACTTGAAATAGTCTGAAAACGTGATGTCTGCGTCAGTTTTTAATGAGCATTCAGCGAGATGAAATGAAAGATATTTTTGATTTTAATAATGCATTAGTAAATGTTGAAATTAATATTAACTAAGATTAATAAATGCTGTAGAAGTAGGCTATTGTTTATTCTTAGTTCATGTTAACTAAAGTAGTTAACTAATGAAACCTTATTGTAAACTGTTTCCAGAATATTGTTCAAATTGTTACTGCCTTTAGTTATCATTTTTGAATAAATATAAAAATGCATAAAAACACTATGAAATGTATCATTAGTATTAAAATTTTAAATTAAATAAAAAATAATATTAATAAAATACAAAATATAATTATAATTGTTCTCTTTTTTATGTAATATTTATATATAAATATATATTTATATATAAAACTGCCTCCTCATTTTAAAACC